CAAGACCCATTGGAAATGCACAGAAAACAAAGGGACCAGGTCCAAAATGCAAAGAGAACAAAAGGAGCAGTTCGGAAATGCACAGAAAACAATGGGACCAGGCCCGAAATGCAAAGAGAACAAAGGAAAAAAGCAAGGGAAGCATGCAAGACCCATTGGATATGGGGGAAAAACGCAACAAACAAACAACCCCTCAGACCCATTGGAAATGGAAAAAAACACTCTAAAAAGCAACCAACCCCCATGACCCATCGGAAATGGGGGGGAACAACAACAACAACAAATAAACCCCCAAGACCCATCACAGCACAGAAACATAACGCCCAGCCCAAAACCACGCTGCAAAAACACCCAGAACAGTTTTTTAAAAAACAGAAAACAGCACCTTACCTTACCAGGCAGCCTTCTCCGATCGCACACTCTCTAACTGCTGGAGCAAAAGAGCTACAAAGAAGCAGCCTCGTCACCACCTACAGTTAGAAATTTGAATTTCCCATCTTTTCCCCCCTGCCTTTTTCTGTTCTTAAGTGGAAGCTCCGGTCGCAAGTAGAAGCATAATTTTGCGGCAGGAGCTGGTCGTAACTCAAAATGGTCATAAGTAGGGGTGTTCGTAAGTCGAGACACCCCTGTATTGGATATGTATTCACTATGGAAAATACAGTGGGGTCTTGACTTAAGAACAGCTCGAGTTAAGAACATTTTGACTTAAGAACCGCTCTCATAGGAAAATATTGACTTAAGTACTTAGATTTAAGAACTGAAAAAAAACCACGTGGGAGGCAGGGAAAGTGCAAAATTTGAACTTTCAGTTAACTGTTGGCCAGTGAAAAGGGTGCCTGTCTGAATGCATGTAGTTCTTAAACACTGTTAAGTGAAAATCAGAGGAACTGAATACAATGGACCCTTGACTTACAGACGGCTTGACTTACAGACTTTTTGAGTTACAGACTTCTCTGGCCGCAAAATTTACAGTAGGTTTGACTTGCAGACTGAGAATTGACTTACAGACCAGAAAAAAAACCAAAATGGAACAAAAACGGCCTGTTACGGGATTAATCGGTTTTCAATGCACTGTAGGTCAATGGAGACTTGACTTACAGACTTTTTGACTACGGAACGGATTAAGTTCTCAAGTCAAGACCCCACTGTAGGTTAAATGTTGGTTTCCCCCAAAGAATCCTGGAAATTACAGACTTTTTGTTTATTGTTAAAATGCTATACAGACCCCGGCATACTGTAGCTAGGTTTAGGTTTGTGGCTTTCACATGTATTCTGATTGTGTGCCAAATGTAACTTTAAGCTTTATCTCAAATCCGAAAGCACAGCTCGTTGATTTTTGTAAAAGTATTTTTCCATCTTATCTCTAAAGGAAAGATTTGTCAGGGAAGTAGAAAAATGCAGAGAAAATGCTGCTTTAGAGAAAACACTTTGAAGAAGGCATGTCATGAAACAGTCTATTGTGCCCATCCATTGAAGTACTTCTACTGAAAGAAACATAGAATCATAGAATGATTGAGTTGGAAGGGGCCTTTAAGGCCATCAAGTCCAACCCCCTGCTCAAGACAGGAATCCAAATTAAAGAAGAAGTGACAGATGGCTGTCCATTTTTCTCTTGAACGCCTCCAGCATTGGATCACTCACCACCTCCCGAGGTAATTGGTTCCATTGTTGTACTGCTCTAACAGTTAAGATGTTTTTCCTGATATCACACCCAAATCTGGCTTCCTATAGCTTTGGCCCATTATTACGTGTCCTGTACTCTGGGATGATCAAGAACAGATCCTGCCCCTCCTTTGTATGACTTGCAGATCACAAGCCATGAGGGGGATGTATAATTTCCAGGCTTAAAAGGAAGGTACTTCAAAATGCCAGATGCAGGGGAGGGGTATCAGTAGACAGGTATCTAATTGTCTTGTGTGCTTCCAGAGGCATCTGGTGGGGCCATTGTGAGATACAGGAAGCAGGACTAGATTGGCCCTTGGCCTGATCCAGCAGAGCTCTTCTTATGTTCTTATCTACTACCTCTCAAGTATTTCAACATGTGAGAAAACTATTTTGCCCCTTCGGAGGTCCTGATTGATGGCCTGTTTTGTGAAAGTCAAGCTAACAGTCCAACTATCTACTTCAGCAATTTGTCTGTATGCAGCCTGTATTAGATTTCAGGGCACCCCAAAGTTACTTTTATTTAATTGCACCTTACAGCAACTGCCTTGAGACATGAACTTATAGAATAAGGGATAATTAATTAAAGACTTTAATGGCTTCTAGCTTTTTACTCAGCCCCCCCCTTGAATTCTAGCAACAGCAAAAGCAATTGTCCCTATAATTTCTGTTAAGAAATATTAGCTATGATGCCTGAAGGGTGGTATTATGATACCCAGATGCCTCCATAATTGTTCCTGTGTTCCCAGTATTCTTGGCACAAACAGAAGTTGCTTCTGCCTAACAGCTGTGTTAGAAACACATCCAGTAATAAAACTATCCCAGTCCTCTTGGGTGTACAAGAGCTTCTCATTGCTCCACATTTCAATCCCACAGCCCTTACTGTGTTTTTGTTGTGGTTGTAAATCTAAACCAGCTAAGTAGATGTTCTAGTGGGTTCCAGATGGTGTTGCCTCCCTGTCTGGGTGTATGAAATTACAGCTGTGACTCCAACAGCATGTGAGGACTCAAGCACTAGACAGGAGCAACAGGTGGCATCAAACATGAAGAGTTCCTGCACCCTCAAAGCTGCTGAAGGGGGAAGGGAAATACTGTTTTAAAGGTAGTTAGCTCCTGCCTCCCTACATCTGCCCAGCTTCTTCTTGTGATGCTACCAGGATTAGATTATGTTCTGTTTATTTTACCAAACCATGCTACTTGTAGCTTCATGTTCAATGTTTCTTGTTAAACATACAGTGCACACACAGGGTAAAAGCCATGCTTTCTTTACATTGATTGAAGTTTTGATTTCAAGGAATTGGTACAGGTTTTGCAGCTTTAAAGGGAAAGTACCTTTTGATCCAGCACTCACTATTACTCACAGTACTCTGTACTGAAATAGAAAATTCTTATAATGCCTCATCTAATATGTCAGAGATTGGGGATGGCTGGGCCTCCAGATGCAGTTGGGCTTCAGTTCTCATGATCCCTCTCCACTGGTTCTGCAGGTCAGAAGCGAACAGAGCTGAAACCACCAACGCTTGTTCAGTCACACATTCCCCAATTAGGGGAATATGCCATGGTGCTGTCATTTTAAAATGGAAAAGGCATTTGAAGAGCATGTCTCTGGTACAATTTAGAATGAGCGATTAGGATTGTTCTAGCAACAGCACTGGAAATGGAATACAAAACAAGAATCAGTTTAAGATACCCTGCTACCACTGGGGGAACAGAACTAGTAAAACCACTCCTTAATACAGTATCTATCACTTACCTTGAAAGCCCTATTAAGGTGATAAGTCAGTTCCAACTTGACAACAAAGAACGCACAAACACATGCACACATATCACTTAGTAAAGCATTAGCACAGAATTTGGTGCTATAATTTTCTCTGTATGGCTAGTATTTCTTCTTTGTAAAATATGACAAACATTATGTTTGCCATTGAACAATACTTTGTGTATGGCTGCACTCAATATTTCTTCTTTGTAAAATATGACAAACATGTTTGCCATTGAACAATACTTTGTGTGTGGCTGCACTCTTAAAACAGTATTTGTGCTTACATGTAAGGCCTATTCTACAGTCACTTTCCTTCCTGCACTTCTGTTGCATGAGGGTAGAAAAACAACATTTTTAAAAGCCTAAATATTAGGCACACCTTAGGATTTTGTGTCTGAGGATGTTTGATGAGCACTGCAACCTCTAGCCACTGTTCGCACTCCTGAACATTCCATTATTCTTCAGCAATGAGTAGTTGAAATGTAATTCTAAATGTTCTACATATTCATTATGGAGTTCCAACGTTCTCTTCAACCAGAGTGATAACACAATGTAAGGTGGCAATGACTGCAGTTTTAAATTTACAAGTTGCAAAAAAGAATGACTAAAACAGTGTTATAAAATATTAGCGTATCAATAAAAGACTCAACATTCCAATGGACTTTTTTAAAAAAAATTAACTTTTAAGAAGATTTTTTTAACATTAAAATGGTCACTTATTAAATACTAATAACATCTGTTTCAGGTTTGCATGACCATTTATCATGTAATTTGTCCTATTAATACACAGTTCTATGAGTCTTGTCTTGTACATCACTTAAAATAAAAGGATCCTCTATTCGTGGTTAGATATTCATGTATAAAGTCACCATGTGAACCCATGTCCATTGTATGCCTAGTCCCAGCATTATATCTTGAAAAGTCCCTGTGAAAGACTCCAAGAAGTCTATTTGAGAAAAGAATTATAAGAAGGGCATGATTTTGTATCCACCCTTGTACTCAATGGAACAGAGGTACAGAAACAAGGATGATGAAAAGCTGTCTTTCATCTATTAAAAATATGCAGAATGTCCAGAGTATTTCCTCACAAGACAATATTTAAATTCATTAAACTGACGTCCCCATCTTTGTATCACTCTTTAGTCTTCAAGTAGCAACTCCAGCTCCTCTATTGGTAGCCGTATTCTCAACTCTTTCTCAGTCATGAGATCAATTAAGTCTTGCAGTTCATCTGGGAAATACTCAATGGCATCCATATATAACACCTGGGAATACAATATTAAAACAATCAGCCCACCACTCTCTTGTAAAAACACAATGAAACTATTTCTCAATTAACAGAAGGGCAAGTTTATCCTTTCCTTGGTACTGGCCACCAAGAAATGCATGACGCAGAAAGGAGGGTTTTACAAAAGCTAAATGTGCACCTTTCCCAAGAAAAGGCCAAAATATTAGATAAATAGTGCTACAGTGGTGCCCCACATGATGACAATAATCCGTTCCATAGAAATCGCTGTTTAGCAAAAACATCGTCTTGCGAAAACCATTTCCCCATTGGAATGCATTGAAACCTGTTTAATACGTTCCAATAGGGAAAAATCATTGTTGTTCTGTGAAGATCGCTCACAGGGAGGCTGGGAAAAATCATCGTTGTTCTGCGAAGATCGCTCATAGGGAGGCTATTTTGCAAAGTGCCTATCAGCTGTTAAAATGGCTGCCCTGCGAAGCACCGGTCTCTAAAATGGCTGCCCTGCGAAGCATCGGTCTAAAAAACACCCATTTTGTGAAGCGCTGATCAGTGTTAAAATCGTTGTCTTGCAAAAAACTGTTTGCGAAGCATGGACCCAAAGGTTGTCTTGCAAAAATCGGTTTGCGAAGCAAGGACCCAAAGATCGTCCAGCGAAAATCGTCCATTGGAATCACTGTTTTGCGAATCACTATAGCGATTGCAAAACCCCATCATCATGCGGATTCGTTGTTTTGAGAGGTCGTCATCTAGCGAGCCACCACTGTACCTTGGGAGGAAATTCTTTGGAAGGAGTGGGGAAAGGTGCTTTCCATAGCAACAGGGAGCTTCAAACCTTACATAGGAGTGGGGAAAGGTGCTTTCCATAGCAATAGGGAGCTTCTCTTGTGTCTCCAAACCTTACACAGCACCCTATATCTCAAGTTTGTCCCCTTTCAATCTTTCAGTCCCTAGAACAATAACAAAGCATAAAATAATTTCTATTTGGTGCACAAAGCTTTCTTCTTCTGAAATAAATACTTGAGAATTGGCTCTGGTGTTTGATCACAAAGATACAATTTGAAATACATGCTGACCTGCTAAAAACCGCAGCAGTTAAGAACTATGAGCTCTTTGCAGTGAAGAATTCTGGACATTTGGACATGAAAATACTTTTCTGTGTCTGTCCCACTATATTTTAAATTGGGCGAATCTTCCAGATGTCTTTGGCATATAGTTCCCATTAGTCCTGACCAGCAGAGCCAATGATGAAATGTTATGGAATCTGCACCAGAAAAACATCTGACAGCCAACATATACATAGCTTGTATTCCACAGAACCATAAATGGAAAGGACTTCAAAGATCACCCAATTATTTCAATACAGGAAATATGCTAATATAGGCTAGGTCTTAAGTGGCCATGGACAGAGCTATACTCAAGTCCAATATTCTTGGTAGTTCATTTAAAATGAAAGAGCAGGAGGAGAAGCAGGAGTAATAAAGCAGCAGCAGCAGCATGCAATGGAACTTCAGAAGCAGGAGTAATAAAGCAGCAGCAGCATGCAATGGAACTTGCTGGAACCTACTTTTGTCCATGGGCAGTTCTGAAGTGCTCTGTAAAATAATCCTTTACTTTTTTCTTTATCTCCCAAAGAAACCTAAAACAGCAAGGGAAATAATTGCATTTGTAATCGCTCTTTTCAAAGAAGCACAATTTTAAGGCTGACATCCTCTTAACAAAAACAATGCAAAGCAGTCCTTCCCCCCACGCAAGGGCTCCCAACCTTGGGCCTGGACTAAAACACTTAGAAGCCTTCACCACCACCTCTGCTGGCAAGGATTTCTGGGAGTTGAAGTCCAAGCATATCTGGAGGCCCAAGGTTGGGGACCACTATGTTATACAACCACGTCACGTGCCCAATCTCACCACCAGTGCACTATTGGTTGCACAAAGGAAAACCTACTGGAAAGGGACACTTAGGTCAGTGGTTCTTAACGTGGGCGATAATGCCCCCCAGGGGGCAATTTCATTTTTCAAGGGGGCGGTAGAACGAAAAGGGGCAGCGTGGGGGCACTGGAGCAGAAGGGGGCGCTGGAGCAAGCCAAACCTGTGAAGATGGCTGCA